GTGACAGCTGCGCTGTGCTGCGGTGTGACGGCTGTCGCTGCTGAGAAGCACAGCCGCGGTGGGGTGATATATCCGCGCTGACTCTGTTCAAATATAGCCGCTGGTGCCGGAGTGTAGTCTGATCACGCCACCGCTCGCCGACCTGATCGCGCCATTGCGACATGAGCTGAGTACATTTCTGTGTATTGAATGCTAGCGAGTGACTACTGAGACAGGAACCGGGGGTAGCGTACAGGCTTCAGGCTTCACATGAAGTCTCTGTCCCTGGGTGGATTCTTCTTCCTGTACTTGATTCCCTTGCTGAAAATGGGGAAGTGTCGGTTACGCCACGCAATTGGGACGTCCAATGCACCAAAAACGCTTGCCGACATTGGCATGGCATGAACGAATCATGGTGGGATAATTCGTCGTTTTTAGCAAAGTTCAGCGACTTGCACAACTACTGTCTGCTTACTGACCGAATGGACATAAAAAGTAATCTTAGAATTTCTCGCGATCCGTCATAACGGCAGAAGAGTTAGTTCAATACCCACATTGCATGCTACCGTAGTTTGCTGTACTCGTTCACAATGAATCTTCGAGACCGGCATAATATAAATTGCAATCTTGTCGCCGGTTAACAGCTACGGAACAACTCTTAAATGGCCAAAGCGTCACGGCCCACAGATACAGAAATCGCTTGTTTCTGCGATGCTGACACGCGACAAGGTCACACGGTCGTGCACAGAATAGGGTCTGCCTTGAATTTAGTGGACCCCTCCCCGCCCCATAACGATTGGCTAGTACGAGTGAGCCACTGATGGTGGGCAGAAATAAATGGGTGAATCAGAAACGACTGGGATTCGTTGAATACCGTTGTCATAATGCATCCCACCAATAACTTTGAAACAGTTCCACCTCTGAATGCCAAGAAGACGCAGGCCAGCTCAACACGATGTACAGATTCTGTTGTTCAATCCGCACCGTCGGCGTGGCACTCACTGTGGGAACCAGATGTGTTTGTTGGTGTGGGTGAGCTCATCAGCTCCTCCCGGACCTGTTGTCGGAGCGTCTGACAAACATGTGCTTGTAGCGCTGCACGCCCTTGAGCGACGAGTCGAGCCCGTCCGTGAAGGGGTTGCGCAGCGCCGACTGGTCGGCCGCGCTGGTCTCCGGCGCCGGTAGCGGCTGGGTCAGAGCGCACGCGGGTCAGTGGCGCGCCCCATGCCACGGCCAGGTGTTGGCCGCAACACGCAGCGAGGAGATACTTCTGGCTGCCCCTTTTGGTTTGCGTTTAACTGTTGTATTGGCCGATTTGGTCGCAGGGACTTAAAAATGCGGCTACGGCACAACCGTGGGCGATCGGGAAGGTGATGGACAGATTCATCCACGTCTTGGCCACGCCTAGGGGCGGCCCGCAGCAACCGCGGCGGTCTTACCTTGGAGCACTCGTAGGGGAAGGCTGGCTCCGGGTGCCAGCACACGATGGTCGAACCGTTGTTGGAGACGACTACCTTGTGTTCTCCTGCCCTGTTCGCACGCAGGTTGAGTGCATATCATGTGACAAGGCAAAACATAGAAAGAAATATCAAGCACAGCGCAGTGCAGCGCATCCTTAAAAACAGACAATTAGGTAAAAATATGTTACTGACTTACAAATTTCACACTGATGGCTGTTTTTCCATTGACAGCTGCATTAAGACATGCAGGCTTGTTTGCAGCTGTGTGAAATGCAAAATCTCAGTGTGCACTGCCTTTTGATCATTTTAAATTTACTCATTACAACTTTCCATGTGTGGACATTCGTCATTTCTTCAGGGGAAAAAGCAACAAGATCCCAACAAGCTGATCCAAAACTCTACAGTTGTGACTTGACAAAGTTGGGCTGGCCCAACTGGCCAGTGAAACAATGTAAACTCAATGTGAGGAGTTTTCATCACCTTGTAAAGCTGATGTGAAGTCTGTCATCAGGTATTATATGGAAGCAACAATGTATGCAGGTGAGGTGATGACTTGGTGCTTTACTTTTTGTAAAAGCACATTAGAAGTAAGATGAAGTTTGTTTTTACTTTTCTGGTAACCTTGTTATCACTGATTTTCATCTAAGAGATCAATTGGCAATTTTGGATGCCTGCTGTATCTAGTGAATGACACTGATGTTTTTTGAGACTTACCCAGAATTGGTAGAACTTGAGATCCCCTGCATTAAAATGTCTGAAATATAAGCATTGTTTTCAGAATAAACTTAAATCAAACTGCAAGGAAAATACAGGATGACTATCAAATCAGCATGACTGAACTCAAAAGCCAACCAAAAATATGTAAAAAGTACATTGAATACCCACTGGTGGTTTTCAAGATATTGCCAGATTAAAAAATTTGATAAAAATAAAGCTCATCTGGTTACACTCAGTTGCTAAATTAATTGAAAACCAGATGCAATGCCTATGGGTGGCCTTATTTGGGCCCAGTTGGTCAAATGGTTAAAATATGGTCACAAGAGTGCTGATCATAAATATGGTCACAAGATCTTTCAAGGGAATTTACAAAAATATCAGTCATAAAATATGGAAGAACACTTACATCTTGAGGCATGGGGCCTTACAAGCATCCTGATTGATGAAAGATGCAGTGCCATCTCTGTACTTCAGACAGCTTCCCCCACTGTGGCAAAAGCACAAGGTGATAGATCGACCTGGTGATGCCAAGAATTACATGAAATCAGTGACAAGAGGATGTGGTGCAATATGCTGGCAAACAAATCTCTGCATACAAAAAAGGATGTGATTAATGGCCACAGTGGATGTGCAGAAGTAAAATGCAACTCTGCTAATTTACCAACCAAAGCCATGTGTGGCATTTAGCACCAAAACCACTATTGCTCAGGCTTACATACAACTTGATAATGCATCCCCTTACAGGCATTAACAATGAAACAATGAAGGCTTGAAGATCTAACTTTGGAGCTTAACATGGATAAAAACTATGCAACTGGGTATAAATTCTGCAAAATAAATGGCCTGAGTCAAACAAAGTTTAACAGCTAGTAATATAGAGCAATGATTAACCCGAAATTGAAATGTTAATTCCACCTCATTGGAAAAACCATTGGTGCATGGCAATGGTTTTTCATTCCTTGACCAAAAGCTTCAAACAAGTGGATGAATGAACACCAGTTGGGAACCTGCCATGGTTGCAGGGCACACTTCAGCATTATCAGTAATCATCTTCTGTTGTGGCTTGAATGGACACCAAGATCAAATTTGGAGCATTATAAACATCAGTAGAAAAAGCCAAGCTGGTAAGGTCAAACCTACCCTGAAGAACAGAAACATGGGTTTTCCCCAGATTTCACACACTCTTAAAGTTGGGGTGGGGCTTGAGACCCTAACTTGGTCCATCCACCTTTGAAACACAAGTGAGTCAAATCTGGATAAAAAAATCATATTTTAGCGCGTTTTGAGGGTGCGGTTTGTCATGCTTACAGATGTCTGGTACCCCTCCTCCCCAGCACCCGACTTATGGCACAGAACTACGTCCGGTGCACACTTCACAAAATAAACATCACTCTTCAGCTGAGCGTGGGAAAACCAATTTATCCATCACACCAAATTTAAATGAACAAACCTTAAAAAAGCACACAATTTACTTGACGTGAGCGCTTTTCAACCTAAGACATCGTTCCAACCACGGCCATAAACACAACAGTTCCATTCGATCGCCAGTATGCGATCCCACTCTTTTGTCCTTGTAGCGCCGATAAACCCGACAGAGTAATAGTAATGAGAAACAACAAGACAGGCGGATATGATAAGGACATATGAACTTTAAATAAGTATTTACAGAAATTTTTTATTTAATTAAAAAGACGAAGATACGTTTTCCTATATTTCAAAAACACAACCATTCGTTTTTAATGCAAGGTAGTGCTCGACGTCCACAGCACTGAAAAGATGATTGTGGTACTGACGCATATATGACAAAATATGACGCTATCGAGATGCTGTGGCCGAATCCAGGGTATCGCTCATTTGCGAGCGAGGCCCCAGATTCCCGTAGGCGTGGGGCGGGCACGGCGGGCGGTGCGCGCCTGAATGGTGAGGCGGGAAAAGGTACCCTAGATAGTTGCGTTCTCTCTATGCTCTGGACCCAGGATTTGGTGCTCTGGATCTCGCACTGTTGAGCGCTGAACTCAAACTAGGCCAAATTGTTATGCGAAAGTACTTTTCTGCACGATATGTTTTCAGAATACTTTGTTCTGAATTATCTCCGCTTCATAATTGCCTGACACATTGGCTCAGTATGAACTGAGGCAGGGTATTGCACATGCTTCAGACTCTCATTGTGTGGAATGATGATAAAGATGATGATGATGATCGCTGTTTCATAATTCCCGGAAACATTAGCTCGCTATGCACTGAAGTAAGGCATTGAGCATGCTCCAAGCTGGTTGTGTGGAATGATGATGTACATGTACTGAAATTTTTGATGTCATGTCTCTACTCTGCCTGGCATGCTGGGCATAACATGCATTTTTTGCAGCCTATGAAAAGGTTAGGTAAGGTTGGACATATAATCTTTTAATTGGCATACAGAATCATTACAAGCTGATTTTATAATTTTCCCAGCACTGAGTATTTTAATGTGCCATTGAAAGTTTAAAATAACTCCACCATATTTGTTTTGGGTGAAATGCTTCAACCATGGCCTTGTGGGAATGACATTGTGAATCTGTCTTTGTGACTTTGTTTATTCAAGTTTTTATGTTGACTATAATGGTTTATACCATTCATGTATTTATTTGAAAGTCATTAATAAAAGGATTCATTCAAGTTTAAAGAAAATGTGCTGTAATAATGGTAAATGTGGCAGGCACTTTTAGGTCTCATGTGGGGTCTGGGTTAAAATCTCAGATTTGTCATGGCCTCTGAGCAAAAATATGGTAACTGCAGTTGTTAGCTTTTCAACAATGTGTGCTACATTCTCTTGTATAGAAATGCAGTCTGTTAGATTATCATTTCAACTTGTGTGAGCATGTGCATGTGATTGTGTCATGTGAATATGTATGGGAATTGTCATTATATGAGGTATGATGGCTATGTGTATCACTCTCAAATGGTTAAATGCTTATGCTGTTTAAACTGATGAAATGTCAACATTTCAGAAAGATGTAGGTTATCAAGCAAAAGTGGTTACCACATTGTCCAAGCCATTCTTGATATGAGGCTGCAGTAGAGTGTAATGCCAGGGTCAGCCTCAGCATCAATCTGTTTTCATACATGTATTATTATTTTGTGTGTATTGAGGAAACTGTGAGAAAACCTTCAGTAAAAGTTTGCTGCCATGCTTGGAAGACAGCAAGATGCTGCACTGTCAGAGTGGGCTGAAGAAATAGAACAACTATTAGGGTGTGAAGATTATGCTCAAAAACCATCAAGACAGCATAAGGAGGCAACACTTGCCTTCATAGCCAAACAAGAACTGGAGAAAAGCAACAGAAATGAAGAAGTGCCTGACAGCTCTCATCTGTCATCAAAACATGAGCAGCAAATACATGGGACAAAAGGCTCAAGATGCATCTTTTTCATTGTATGTTTGTGTGCTCTATCATTTGCAGTCATCAAATTTGGATACTGCAATGGAAAATCACTGAAACTCTGCTGGAATAACAACATTCAAGACTGGATTTACCCTGTGCTGAGAGGGATTCGGCTCATCTCTTTGCCGGTTATTCAGTATTTTCCATCCATCACAGGTGATATTTTACTCAATTGTTGTTCTGGGATTGTTATTTTTCATTGCTACCATAATGAAGCAGGCATCCAGGATTGAGTAGCTTTTGACCTGTCAATGCCTTGCTGGGCATTATCATGATATCCAGGCTTGTGCTGAAACTGTGGGATGCTGGCGATCAGCAGCTGGTAATTTTGTTAATGAGTGTTATCATGCTAATAATACCAAGGGTTTAAATTCATTTACTGTTATCATGCCTTATGGTTCAAGGTGACTTTGGCCATGATGTATCATCAGCAGTTATGTTTTGTTTAAGTGGTCTGGTAAACCTTTTCTCAATTTTGCTTTGAATCCAGACTGATGTGGCCTGAATATCAAGCCACATGCTGGCAAAATGTCAAGATTTTCTGAGCTGAACCAGGTATGATATAGGACAAAAAGGACTTCATCTTCTGTTTTTTTTGGCTTTATAATTTGAAAGTTATAATGTTGAGCTAACATTATAACTTTATAGCCAAAGATTATAGCCAAACATAACATTATAGCCAAACATAAAAACATAACATAGCCAAAATATACCAGGAGGTACTGGTTAAACAGCATTGTAATGTTCAATAACTGTCAAGTTAATAGTACTCAATCTTTCAAGTTGTGCTCATTTTCAAGTCATTCTCAAAACTCGGTCATGAGAGCGAGTACAGCTCGATTTATCGAGTACCATCAATATAGCTTGATTTATCGAGTACCATCAATATGATTGTTATTTAGCACTACATCGTCGTTTAATAACTACCTCCTTAGATATCGATTTTGTATAAGGGTATGGGTGGGTAGTGGTTAAGCTGTGTGTGTGGAAAACCAGATGTACGGGTTTTGATTCCCACGGTTCACTGTTGCTGCCAGGGTAAGAGGCAGGCGACGCCATGTGGCTTCTGCAGCTGAATGTGTCGTAAAACCCCAGTGACGACGGGATATTTAAGTGTGTTAGCTCGACACAAGTGCTTTCAACCCACAATCTTGCACCTTTGCATCTGTCAGTGGCAAAGTAGAGCTGCTTTGTAATGTTTTAAGTACGAGATAGTAAGAACTGCACTTGGTTGAAGTCACTAAGAGGCTCACTCCGATTATGGTGAATGTTGTGAATGTGAATGTGAAAAAGTAGTCATAGATGACAATTGTTTTGGTGTTGTTTTGTCATGACCACGCAGTGCCGTGAGTTTGTAGCATTCCATCCACTCACTGGTGCCTTTGGGTTATGGCAGACATTCACGAGGAGACATGTCTGGTGGACAACCCCCTCTACTGGGACCCGGAGGTGGACTGCACTCTCTGCAAGGATGTCGGCGTCGTCACATTGCCGCACGCAGAGCAGTTCGAAGACCTGTTCTATCACAAGGGAGTCCCTGTGGTGGTGCAGGTAAAGTAGCAAGACAGGTTTTTTCTGAAAAAATTGCACCTCCCATTTGCAGTTACTGTGCTTGAAATGGCTTTCTAATGTTTTAAAGATTACCAGATTGTTTTCTCGATTGGTTTTCACAAACCGTGCCTTCCGTTTGTTTAAATTACGGTAGAATGGTGACTGGTGTCACCTGTCACTAGCACTGTCACCACTATCGGATCTTACGTCTAGCAGCAGCAGCAGCACTCAACTTGAGCAGCACTCCCCTGTATTTCCGCCGGTGACATGGTGAGCGCGCTTGCTGACCTGACCCCAGGCCGCTGACCCTGACCTGGCCGCTGAACCCGGCCCGTACTGCGCAGGACGCGATCGCGGCGCCGGTGAGCCTGGCCGCCCTGACCCGGCTGTACGCCCTGCGGCGGGATGACATTGTGGCCGGGTCGGCCCGACGCCTGCTCGGTCTCGACAGACTGATGGCCGCGGCCCCTGCGGAGCTGGCTGCCCTGCCGCACTGCGTCCAGTGGTGCGTACGAGCGCCGTGTCTGCCGGCAGGTGGAAGCCCACTCATTGGTCGAAAGGAGGCACGCTGAGCCAGGGAAAGGACCTCTTTGTTACGGGGAAAGGCACACTGATTGTTTGGAAGGGTCCTCAGTTTCCAAGGGAAGGCAACATTTCGTCGAAGAACAGAGCAACGTTTAGGCCAAGAAAAAATAATTTGGACATAGGAGCACTTGGAACATGATAGCCGCGGACAGGCGTGATGTCTGGACAGCTGCATTTCAGCCAAAGTGACCATGGGGCTGATGGAGAGGCCTGTTGGACCTGAAGAGCCGAGTCCATTGCCCTCCAAATGGTCCCAGCCGTGTGCTCTTCCCTGACCTTGTGCCGTCCGCAGGCGTCTGCTCAGAGTGTCGGCTGTCAGACATCTGCGCCAGCTCTTCCGCCGCCCCTATTTCGTCTCCAAGAAGACTGAGGTGTCCTTACATCGCTACATATATCTCTGCGGCGCGGAAGGCGGCAGATTTCCTCTGGTGAGATGGGCAGTGTTTGTGTGGCAAACATCATGATCTGGCAGCAGATAGCGTGTTTGGCCATCCACTGGATTCATTTGTATGATTTGTTTCCAACAGGAAATGAGCAAAAATTACTGTGTTGTGTTTCATCAAAATAAATGCTTTTGACGCCACACGTTTCACACATCAGGCATCCTGTTTGATATGCCTTGTTATTTTGTGTAGGTAACCGTGAAAGTGGTATTGCAAGTGACATCTGTGATCTGCGGGACATTTCTGTTTGGAAAGTGTTCAGCTGGCCTGAAAGTGACGCTTAGCTTATTATGGGTTTTCTAAAGTGTTTTTGTGTAAAGACTGCACTGTAAGTCTTTTTTCTTTTTTTCCTTGACTTTGCATACTATCTTTTAATCTATGCACCCTGTGAGATGCCCCATGCTGGAAGTATGTTTGATTTGTAGAAGTTTGTGTGTAACTGTGCTGTGCTCGTGTCTGTTGCCAGCCGGTGACCGAGTTCGCCAATGTCTGGGTCAGCCAGCACAGCGGCACGCGCCAGATTCAGCTGACGCCCAGCAGCGAGTGCAGCGCCACCTGTCGCACGGTGTCGGCACTTCTGCGCCCCGGAGATACCCGTAAGTGTTGCATGATGACCTGGACTTTTGATAGTTCTTTGGGTCCTGGATTGGCGGTCATATTTTGAAGCAGGATAAAGTCGAAAACTTGACGAAAATATCCCGTTTTGGTAAGCCAAAATTTGATCAAGGGTAGGGACGTCAAAGCTCTGTTCAGTTGTGCAATGCATAGAGTGTTGTCTGTTGAGCCATGCTTCCGTTCCTGTCTGCAAATAGCCAGTGAAGATGTATTGCAATGGCTTGTGCATCGTTGCATCCGTTGGCGTCCTGGGCCGGCAGTGTTCTACAACTGGCGCTACTGGCGGGCGTCCTCGCTGCCGATGCACGGCCCGCTGCCGGCGGCTGGCGACGGGCAGGGGACGGCGTGGAGCGCCCCCGCTCAGGCTGAGACCGAACGCGACCAGGCCGTCGACGCGGCCGCCAGACAACCGCCGACCGCGGTCGGTCAGGGGATGAGGGAAGCCGACGCGTCATTGGCAGGCGCCGGTCACGTGACGGGAGAGAGTGACCAATCGCCGACGGATGCATTCGAGGCGGCAGAGGAGGTGGTGCAGCCGCGGAGGAAGGGCTGTGAGTCGGCGGAGGCGGCGGACTGCGCTGCCGGCGAGCCAGCCGTGGGCATCACCTTCATCGGCTCCTTCTACTGAGCTGGAGCCAGCCGTGAGCAACACCTTCAGCGGCTCCTTCTACTGAGCTGGAGCCGGCGGTGAGCATCACTCTCATCGGCTTCTTCTCCCGAGCCGCGGTGCTCGGAAGACACGTGCCGGCTGGGCTTCGGCCCGCTTTTGGCAGCTGTATGCACATCTGTGGTAGCTACGTGGGGCCCGGTCCCCCGTTCTGAGCGCGGCAAGTGGAGTCATGCCGTTGGCCGAAGACCGCGTGCGGCCGCCGCGTGCTAATGCTTTAAACGTTTACCGTCGGTCACAGACCGTTTTTCCTCGAGCCTCCCTAGTCGTCCACGGGTCACAGGCGGTATTTAACCCGCGCCCAAATGAAACGATCGCCAAATAATATGCCAATTATCACCGAAGGCTGCGACCGCGGCCGGTGGTGGTGTCTTCCACAGGGTTGAGGCGGAGGACGCGTTGATACGTTGGTGGAAGTCGCCACGATGCGTGGCGATATGTATTAACCATGGGACGAAGCGGCTAGATAACTTCCGAGGATCGTGTATCTGTATCGTGTATCGTAACATGTTACGCTAGCGGAGCGATGCGTACTGGTGTTACTGATGGTGTCACAAGGCGGCAGTTGATTTTGATGGTGTCACAAGGGGGCAGTTGATTTATCGACGGTAGTCACGTGTCACGCCGTCCACGCGCACGTTTACGTTTTGTTTGGTGGAGCACGTGCTTCACCCTCGAAGAAGACCAGACTAACGCGTATGTCGCTACCCTGGATTAGTGTATTTCGCAGTGCGTACTGCGTTACTACCGCAGAGCTTGTAATCTAAGTCACGTGCTCACTAGTCATCTACGACGTCACCTGCTGCTCTAGTCCCGAGGTTGTTGCAACATGCACACAAGTCCGGTGCATTTCCGTGCGCATGCCTGTCGCCTTAGTTATGCTGCAACAGTGTGCTGCTTGTTACGGGCCGACAGTAGCAAAAATATAGCTCACCGTGATCGCCACGAATCGCCACGAACCGCAGTTACCCAGACAGGCGTGACCCGTCTGGGCAACTGCAGACCAACGTGATACTGTGCCTGTGAGTGATAGCGGACCAACGTGATACTGAGTGATAGCCCGTGACATGTCATGGCACGGCGCAATGGACAAACGGTACACCGGTCAGAACAGCGATGAGGGGTCTCGTTCGCCCACCTGGAGAGCGGGCGCTGAAGCTTCATTTGCGCCCAATTTGAAAGAAAAATCAGCTCAGGCAAAACGGAACCGAGCTGACAGCCAAGCTTGTGCTTTTCAGAGTAGACTGGCTCAGCATTAGACAACAATGACAACCTAATCTAAGCTCAGATATCCTGCCCAACTGCTGTATCTAATGCCTTTATAAGGCTTTCCAAGGTTCTGCCTCCCGGACTCGGACGTTCGACCATCTTGGTGATGTAGCGCTGATACTCGACCTAGTGAACTGGAAGGGCACGCTTCAAGCGGAAGGTCAATGCGTGGGAGAAATAAAAGGTCATCATTTTGGGATACAATGATATACCAGTACTTATATACGCATTCATATATATATATATATATATATATATATATATATATATATATATATATGTATATATATGAAGTGCGCATACCCGCACAATTGTACGTAGAACAAACCCTAGTTAACACTACTCAAGGTTTAAAAGACGATCACTACGATATCGTGTTGTGCCGGGCTGCGAAACACAACACGTGCAGGGGCGCGATTCGATTTTTTAAGCGAGCATGTACTTGTGGCCGGTGTGTGTGAGACACTTCCCGGCACACATACCCGACGCGGCGAGTACGGCGCGGAGGCGAGCTCTTAAGCGGGCCAGGGGAGGGCGCTGACCACCAGAGATGGCATTGACATCACATGTATTTCGATAAGTCGCCAGGTTTCACGACAAGCCCGCGCCGGCGCATTCAGTCAAGTGATTCTGGCGCCAGTGACACGAGCATGACTTTTGTGGAGGTCCGTCAATTAAATAGCAGCTCATCACACAGCTACCCGTCTCTGTACCAGCACGCAACATGAGCGGTGAACGGAAACAGCTGAAATGCAGACACGCTGCCTGTGGTCCATCAGGTTCAGCCTATCAGGGCATAGCGGGCTTATTCGACAAGAATGCTTGGATTCATGGGTCCACAGTAGGCTTCTTTAACTGAGCTTCGTAAGTGAAGTATTTAACTTAGTTTAAGTCAGCTTCCCTATGCTCACAGTAAGTTTCACAGTACGCTAAGTTCACAGTTCAAGTGCGTCAAAATGGGATCTCCTCGGGTATATCAGAATTCTCCGGTCGAACAACGCAATAGGACTGACGCTCGTGTTTTCACACAGCAACGTTACAAACACAGGTATGCATGGCGCACGGTCTTAGGAACTGCTGCACCCCAGCCGCTTACAAGACCGGCTCCACACCCGGTCAATCTCAGACGACATCGACACGCAACGCCACACCCACGATTACTGGCCATTGGAGTCGGACCACAGCACACCACATTGTCACGCGCGGTGCCCACCCGTTTCCGAGACTTCGCGCGCTCGTCAGGCGGGGGAGCGCGCAGCGGGACAGGAGCCAGTCGGCCCGCGGCACCTTCGGCGGCCCCCGACCTCGGCGCGGGGAGGAGCGCGCAGCGGGACACGAGCCAGTCGGCCCGTAGCACCTCCGGCGGCCCCCGACCCCACGGCGCGGGGAGGGGCGCGCAGCGGGACAGGAGCGTCGGCCCGCGGCACCTCCGGCGGCCCCCGACCTCACGGCGCGGGGAGGAGCGCGCAGTGGAACAGGAGCCAGTCGGCCCGCGGCACCCCCGGCGGGCCCCGACCCCACGGCGCGGGGAGGAGCGCGCAGCGGGACACGAGCCAGTCGGCCCGCGGCACCTCCGACGGACCCGCCGGAGATGACACGGGTCCGACTGGCAGTTGGCACGGGCAGTTGCCCAGACAGGCGTAACCCGTCTGGGCAACTGTAGACCAACGTGATGCGGTGCCTGTGAGTGATAGCGGACCAACGTAATATCGAGTGATAGCCCGTGACATGTCATGGCACGGCGCAATGGACAAACGGTACACCGGTCAGAACAGCGATGAGGGGTCCCGTTCGCCCACCTGGAGAGCGGGCGCCGAAGCTTCCTTTGCGCCCAATTTGAAAGAAAAATCAGCTCAGGCAAAACGGAACCGAGCTAACAGCTAACCTTGTACTTTTTCAGAGTAGACTGTCTCAGCATTAGACGACAATGACAACGTAATCTAAGCTCAGATATCCTGCCTAACCGCTGTATGTAATGCCTATACAAGGATTCCTAAGGTTCTGTCTCCCTGGCTCAGACGTTCAACCATCTCGGTGATGTAGATCTGATGCTTGACCTAGTGAACTGGAAGAGTACGCTTCAAGCGAAAGGACAATGCGTGGGAGAAATAAAACGTCATCATTTTGGGATACAGTGATGTACCAGCATTTACATATGTATATACATATATATATATATATATATATATATATATATATATATATATATATCAATATATGTATGAAGTGCGCATCTCCGTACAATTGTACGAAGAACAACCCCTAGTTAACACTTTTCAATGTTTGTGTGTTATTGGGGCTTTACGGCGCACTCAGCTGCTGGGGCTATATGGCGTCGCCTGCCTCTCACCCTGGCAGGAAGGGCGGGCACCGCGGGGAATCCAACCCCGTACCTCTGGTTTCCCAGACGCGCAGTGGCTAACGCAGACGCGTTAAACTTCCTAATGTTTAAAAGACGATCACTACGATATTGTGTTGTGCCGGACTTCGTAACACGACCCGTGCAGGGGCCCGATTCCATTTTCAAGCGAACATGTCCGTGTGGCCGGTGTGCGTGAGGACACCTCCCGGCACAGACACCCGACGCGGCGAGTACGGCACGGAGGCGAGCTCAAAAGCAGGCCAGGCGAGGACGCTGACCACCAGAGATGGCATTGACATCACATGTATTTCGATAAGTCGCCAGGTTTCACGACCAGCCCGCGCCGGCGCATTCAATCAAGTGATTCTGGCGCCGGTGGCACGAGCATGACCTTTGTGGCGGTCCGTCAGTTAAATAGCAGCTCATCACACAGCTACCCGTCTCTGTACCAGCACGCAACATGAGCGGTGAGCGGAAACACAGCTGAGATGCACACACGCTGCCTGTGGTCCATCAGGTTCTGCCTGTCAGGGCATAGCGGGTTTATTCGACAAGAATGCTTGGATTCATGGGTCCACAATAAACTTCTTTAACTGAGCTTCGTAAGTGAAGTATTTAACTTAGTTTAAGTTAGCTTCCCTATGTTCACAGTAGTTTCACAGTACGCTAAGTTCACAGTTCAAGTGCGTCAAAATGGGATCTCCTCGGGTATATCAGAATTCTCCGGTCGTACAACGCAATAGGACTAACGCTCGCGTTTTGACACAGCAACGTTACGAACACAGGTATGCATGGCGCACGGTCTTAGGAACTGCTGCACCCCAGCCGCTTACAAGACCGGCTCCACACCCGGTCAATCTCAGACAACATCGACACGCAACGCCACACCCACGATTACTGGCCATTGGAGTCGGACCACAGCACATCACATTGTCACGCGCGGTGCCCACCCGTTTCCGAGACTTCGCGCGCTCGTCAGGCGGGGGAGCGCGCAGCGGAACAGGAGCCAGTCGGCCCGTAGCACCTCCGGTGGCCCCCGACCTCACGGCGCGGGGAGGAGCGCGCAGCGGGACACGAGCCAGTAGGCCCGCAGCACCTCCGGCGGCCCCCGACTTCACAGCGCGGGGAAGAGCGCGCAGCGGGACAGGAGCCAGTCGGCCCGCGGCACTTCCGGCAGGCCCCGACTTCACAGCGCGGGGAGGAGCGCGCCTCGCCGGGAGCAGCGCATGGCTGCCTCGCCGACTGCGGGCCAGGTGGACGGGACTGCTGAACGGGGGGGGGGGGGGGGCAACCGTCACTGCGGGCGGACTGGGTGGGACCTGTTTTGATTTGGAAAAGGCATGCCAAGTGTCAGCGACGTTCGCTTCGACCAACCCCTCGGTGATTATGCCGCACGCCGCTGCACCACGAGTCCGGCTCGCCAGATCATTACATTTTGCAATGTTCCAACATCGAAGGGTCGAACAGACAAGCTGCCAGGAAGTGAAATGTAAAAATGGATGCGCCGCACCAATCTCAGCATGGACGACGGTTGCGGAACTGACGATAAAACACCACGGGGAATGTTTGAAGGAGTCCGGTTATGTTTGTTCGAGAGTTCAAGGGGGTCCAGCTACACAACACGGGGAAGAAGGGAATAAACACATCACTAGCACACAGTTGGACGTCCTTAGGACCCCATCTACACCGTAAAGACTTAATGGTCAGCATAATAAACCCTAAGTGGACATGTCTAGCTGGTATCACAGCTATCCAACCCCGGACATTTGCTAGTCGGAGACGGAGGAGAACACACCGACGGTCCGAACGCGGTCAGACACTTCGTACAACCTGAAGCCGGCTTCGTACAGCGAAACTGCAATTTGCGATGCGTTTATATTGCACCATTGAAGCAGATGGGCTGCGCGATTCTTTCCGATTTTGATTCATAACAACTCACGAGCGAAGTGGGTGCTCGCGAAGCCAGGCAACTCCTGGCACACGTGAGGCGGCGCCGTTAAAAAAGAAAAACAAAAACGGCGCACGTTGCAGTTTCGCCACACGAAACCGGTCATTGGTCGAGACGAGGCGTGCCCCCACTGCCCACGCCCATGGTCGGCTGGCCGGGCCCGTCCGGCGGCGGCTCCGTCGCCACTGCCGGGCAACAGGACACCGGGCCTAGCCGCGCCCCAGGCTAGTCGAAGCGCTGCTTTAGCTTCTGCTTGAAGAGGATGGGCACCAGCGATAGCACGGCGAACACGGCCAGCCAGGCCACCGACGCCCAGGAGACGGCGTCGCTGGATGACGTCAGCTGCTGCAGAGTCGTACCGCCCTGGATCGCCACGAACGACGGTGGCGCCACGCCTGCGCGGCGGCAGACAGTGGTAACAGGCGAGCGAACAACCGGTGGCGCCACGCCAGCGCGGCGGCAGATGGTGGTAACAGGTGGGCGAACGACAGCGGACCGGAACACACCGGTTCGAAATACTGACTTCACTATCGGGCTGCAGACGGTCTCATTCTTGCTTCAGACGGGGCTGGGAATTAATAATTTTTTTCCGCCCTCAGCCTTAAACGAAAAACCCTCTGAGGTGAAAACAAAGAAAACCAGACAGCGCAACACCGAAGAAACGCCAAGACCAGTAATCCCCTTTACTCAAGGATTACTAGTTCAAGCACCAGTTGCAATAGCTACCCTACAGAAACACCAGACCCTACAACCTCACCGATAAAGGGAGAGACTCGGCTTGTACGCATTCAGATGTTTATGGCCCAGCAACGGCGGTGACATGTGTGTCCAGTGCGGACAATCGATGAGCTCTCACCGATAAACGTCCCGATGAAAAACGGCGTCAGAGGCACCTCAATCACCGGGGACGTGATGTTGATGAACCAGTTGGGCAGGAAGGGGGTAATCCGGAGGAAAATTATATAGTTGAGCAGATTGTCTTTCTGATTGGCCACCTGAAACAGCAGGCAAGGGTGAGAGCTCGTCAACCGTTGCACGCCTCGTGTGGCGCATGATGTACAAGACTTAAGAGACTGGCTCGCTGCCTTTTTTGGGACACAACACTAGCTTGAACTAGGTATGCCTTAATCCTGCGAAGCTTGTGTAGCCGCCCCGGACTTTGACCATGTCTTGTCCCTTGCGCCATTCGGGATTAATGACACGTAAGAATGGATTTGTGGTCACCTGCCGTCGTTCAACGTGTATACGTAAGCGTTATGAGCCTTAAAAGAGCACATTGACAGGAAAGCTCGTTCAACGTATTATCAAAAAATGAACGTGCGTTTCGTTTAACACACGAAGAACAATAAGCATATACTTTATATAAGCACGAAAGACCTTGGGCTCCTGCTTTTTGACGTTGAGTTAGGAGCTCTAATATCGACAATGAGCAACCTTTGAAAAAGCAGGAGATGCTATTTTCAAGACAAACAAAACCCGAACATTTCGTTTCCACAGCTTGTTGGGATCAGGGTGCATGTTAAGCAGTGCTTGTCATGTGAACCCTGACCCTGATGGACAAAACAGCTGGTTTAACTATGTGCTCACGCAAGCATTGGCTATTTTGACATAACTATACCGAGTTTTGTCAATGCAGTCAAATGAATGAATGTTAACAGCATAAAGCAAATAGCTCGACTGATATTGTCCCCTGACAAGTTGAAGTTACAACACATCGCTTCTTCTGTCTACAATGCACGACTTAATCCATTTAATCGTAGCGCAGAAAAACCGCGTGAACCGAGCAAAAAACCAGGTAGAAAACCAGATGCCTTACACAAATCGTACATCTTTAGCAATGCTGCCAATTGTTGACGAAATAATATTTAAGTGGCTGGGTAGTAGCAGTAAAGGCATTGACATGCGCCAGCGACCAGCAGATGTTTGTTTTTCGTTTTCATGTTTGGACCATTGGACCAACTTTTTATGTTTTTGTTTTAAGTAGCACGGTTCACGCCCGGAGCGCGCTGGATGCTCTCAGCCACCGTTAGCCGCTCGCCGATGGCCGGCGCTCACCTTGAGTGCCCACTCCTTGGCCTTCTCGGGGAAGTACTTGTGTACGATCTTCCTGCCGGCCATGTAGGACAGCAAGTAGCAGAAGGAGGCGCCGGTGGCCGAGCAGAAGCAGACGAGCACCAGCGCCGCCCAGAACGGGAACAGGAAGCCGGTGAGGATTGAGAGGAAGATGGAGCCAGGGATGGCGAACGTCTGCAGACTGACAACACCTCCGGTCAAGGAAACTTTCTCACGAGAGAGAGAGCGAGAGCGAGAGCGAGAGCGAGAGCGAGAGCGAGAGCGAGAGCGAGAGCGAGAGCGAGAGCGAGAGCGAGAGCGAGAGCGAGAGCGAGAGCGAGAGCGAGAGCGAGAGCGAGAGCGAGAGCGAGAGCGAGCGAGAGCGAGAGCGAGAGAGAGAGCGAGAGAGAGAGAGAGAGAGAGAGAGAGAGAGAGAGAGAGAGAGAGAGAGAGAGAGAGAGAGAGAGAGAGAGAGAGAGAGAGAGAGAGAGAGAGAGAGAGAGAGAGAGAGAGAGAGAGAGAGAGAGAGAGAGAGAGAGAGAGAGAGAGAGAGAGAGAGAGAGAGAGAGAGAGAGAGAGAGAGAGAGAGAGAGCTGCCATATACTCTCTCTCCCTATCTCTAAAAATGCACGGATAAAAACGGTATTCGCCACAGCCTACATGAACAAGGTTGCTACCATAGCTGACTGAAACACCACGTAAGAAGGGAAAGGCTGAAATATTCCTCGATGAGTAGAACGCATGGCTTAGACATATATCAAACTTCATTGTCCGATATGGTATGTGGAATCACACAGAAACCCGGCCTATGATATCGCAAATTGAGTAACGTGGACGTCACAATCGCAAAACCTGGAAGAAATCGTGCGCGGCCAGGTGGCCCAATCAATCTGAAAACGCTCATTCGTGTATACAATATGAAACTAAAGGATACAATATATAGGTGATGAAGATCCCAGCCATGACTTCAAAGTAGTACTGCTCCTTGTATACATTGAGAACTTTGCCAAGCCTCTTAGCATCATCGATGTCTCTTGGTAGCTTGAAATCTTGCTTCTCTTCACTGAAAGAATACATTATGCAGAGGTCATTGGCGTATCCTGTAAATTAGTTCGGTCACATCTCAATGACATCTCGCTGAGAAATGTCCTTTCCCAAATTTCAGGGCGTCCTCTGTCATTGCACTTCTGAGGAATGTCAGTATCGTCAGTCAGGTGCTATTGTGTTAACGTCCTGTCACGTTCGTGTCGCAAGTACTCCAGAGGTGCTACGTACGTCGCGTAAGCGCATCGTCAGACACCGTAAGAGTGTCGTTGTGATCACGCCAACGTAGTGTTTGGAACGAAGTTTGCAGCCTTCGAGATTACATTTAAACTGATACACTCCATTGGTGCACTTACGCTTGTCAAGTTTGTCAGGGCTGTTTCTCACAAGAAAGTTGGAGATTTTCCTGTTGCGATAATGAATGGCAATGCCTTTTATGTGGCTGTTCTCGCCTTTCACGTGTCCAGAGATGATTTCACGTACAGCTTTTTCGTCTTGTTTGTAGGCAGATGTTATATAACTTTGATCATGCAGCTGAATGGTTGGTTGTTTGTCTTGGTTTATTGCCAAAGTGTCCTGTCACAGGTCGTTGGACTTTGTTTTCAATGTCAGAACTTCCAAAACCGGTATCCACCAAGATCCGTCTGATTCATACCAATTCTAAATGAAATACTGTCAAATCAGACCAATGACTCAATGCAAGTCTGTGGAATGATGTCATCAGGCTAATTGCGTGGCATCGAGGACGCTCAACGTCAGTCCCCAAAGGGAATGTGCCACATTTGAAGGTATTGAAGCAAGCATCACATGCCATGAAATCAGCTTTCTTATAACTAATGGTATACTTAATAGTATAAGTCAAAAAGTCTGTCCCAGACAACACAGTTTCTCTGTTTAGTAGAGAAGCTCCTTAATATGTCATTGTTTGATTACGTCATCATACCTTGCACAACACTAAGAGCCCATTGATGGCTGTTACATCTGGACACCGCGCTAACGAGCACCAAATGTGAACAATACGACACTTACATTTTCTTGGCCTTGATTGTCGTATAGGTAATTGAATGAGAGGGTTTGAGTGACGCTATCACGGCGTCATAAACGCCCACGTGACCTTAAAATAGTCTGCAGATTTTTGTGAGCGTGTAACTCAGAAACTAGACGGGTCTAGCTGCTAAGAAGGGCTGTGAACTGCACCCAATGACTAAATTGGCTATTTCCGTTCAATACACCATACAAATGGGGAACAATACCTTTAAGCACCGTCCGTTGTTAGCCTGCTTTCGTTATGCAGCCGTCCTAAATCGCCGCTCTTTTCCATCAAAAGTCACGTCAACACAGAGATCTAGATTGTCCCTAATTAGTTCTCTTGAATCTTAATCCAGATCGTTCCTTAAAGGCACTTGTGAGACGTTCTGGTTGACGCATGTCCCTAGACATAAAGGTATCGTCCACATAACGGCCGTAAATTTGTGAGACGTTCTAGTTGACGCGTGTCCCTAACAATAAAGGTATCGTCCACATAATGGCAGTAAATGTCCGGTATTATGTCGTCGCTTTGTAGTATGTCGGTTGTCAAGAACACTTACTGCCGCGGAGCAGCTCGCGATGCTTACATCAACACACCAAGTCATCACACTTCGTACGAGGCACTTACTCCAGCGGGTCCATCCCCTCAAATGTGCTGTGTAGTGTGCATTTCTTCTGCTGCATCCTACTGTGCTTGCCAGTGAGAAATATGCAAAGCTGGCACACATCACGGTTTTTCGTACAGCAAATCCATCAATTACGACACAATCGTCCACCAAATCAATGCAAGATTTTGGACCTGGTAGATTTGATGTGTAAATAGTATTAACATTTTTCCTTAATGGTAGCCCAGTGGACCCCTTGGTCTTCTTCTTCAGAGGACACGTGTGATGCAAGAGACTGTGAGGTGCAAGACATGCTTGCATCACACAAGTACAAGACAGGTTGTGAATGTGATACAGCACAGCAAACAGCACCGCACATCATAAAGATGACCTACATGTGTACAAATCTGGCCCAAATTGGAATCAAACTTGAGATGATTTTCACAATTGATAAATGGAATATTAAACGTATTCAACTAAAAATGCTGAACAATCATACACAATACACTTCAGTGTCATCATTTTTTCCTGCTGTGCTATTGGACAGAAAGTGTATGATGACAGATGAGCTCTGATATGCTTTCATGCTTCCTGTTTGGTTTTGCTTTTTTGTAAGGAGCATATGAGCTCATGATATATCATGTACCAATAAATTATTGACAGGATGGCATGATCAGCTCCAATTCAAGACATTCACTGCATGACAATGGCAACTGGAAAGAAAGCATTCTTACCTTGTCATCTCTGGAAATATTGTGTATACATATGCCAGGCAGAGGAGTGATGTTGCAAAAATAATGCCAAGAGCTATGAATGACTGCCTGGTACTGGGTGATGCTGGGTGCATGATGATCACAGGGCGCTTTCTTGGTATACCCAAACTGCAAGAGAAATATTAGATAATCATCAGACAGACATTCCTCAGCAATGTTTTGCTCAAGCAATACTAACTTAACGGATATCAAATGTCATCACTTACATTGTCACAAAACCCATACACATACAAACAAGCTATAAAATTAAGTTAATCAGAATGTGCCATTGAGAATTAAAATCATAAAGCATTTTGGTGATGTCTGAGTCTATCAAGGCTTCTATACTTGTATTCATTTTGTATTTGTTTTAATCATTCTTTGCCTGCTGAGGGAGGAAGGTTGAGTGGTCATGTCACAGTATTGCGTGCAATATTAAACCCTGATGACACAATCTAGCCACCAGTCTATGGCAAAATTGTACTGTATTTTGGCCAACTTGGATAGAAAGAAAGTGTTAGCTTAACAGGCTATCTTTGGTGAGTTCCCCAATCCCAATATTGTGCATGTCAATGTCATGCAAGCATGCCTGAAATTGAAAGCAAACATTTTGCTTATGTATGTATGTATGCAGTCACACATATGCAATCACAGCACAGTCAAACAGCCACAGCTTCTACCAGAAACATGTGTGCAGCCACACAAAAGCCACACAAACACAATTTGGGAGCTGACTAGCAGTGCTAGCACACAAACACATGCAAGCCAAAGGTATGCAGCATGGACTGTTTCCTGACCTATAGAAGTATGTGCCAAATGATAAAGTAAATCAAGAAGCCAAGCATTAATCCTGAAACAAAGGAAAAACAACACAAAAATATAGCTTTGTGCCTGTAGAAATTTACACAGCATCAAAAAGCATTACCTACCTAAAAAAATTATTAGATTATATAAGAAGGTAGGTGCACACACATATGCACACAAATCATGAGGTCACAAGATTCAATGACAAATAAATGGAGCAGGGAACAAGTGCATCCCATAAAACCAGCAAGCACGCTAAGAAGCTAATAGGCCTCAGTCCATGCACAATTGCCTGTTTCCCAAAGTCACAATAAAAATGACAATGTTGGGTGATATTGTAAAACAAGAGCAGAAGACTGCATACACAAACCCACATACCGACCAAGCAACGCACGACGCACCCCGCCGCCCTCGAACGAGGAGGGAAATGAAATGACACGTCTCCCTGTCATGACGAGAAGTCTTCTGAAATATGTCTTAACCGCGCCGATTTCGGCTTGTATCGTTTGTTACTCATTATGTTCTAGGTAACACAGGAATAAAATCGTCATCGCTTTGGCCCATGAAATAGCCAATAGGACCAGAGATTTGTGTACTGCCATGTGAATTTCGTGCTCGGATTGGTTAATGATCATATGGATAGCACAATATGGCAGTGTGAAGCAGGCGCGCCGAAAAGCTGCCAAATTACATCGATTTTCATCAAGATGAAGAAAATTATCGTTTCGTACCTAAACCCCTAAAAACGACTATTAGGCGCGGACCAGGGGCGTGGGAACTTTGTTCAACTTGGGGTCAAGCTTCAAAATGTTAAAATGGGCCCCCAAAACTCTGATATTTAGCCCCTTACAACCTGGAATGGATCTTATACAGGTGAGAATGGGCCCTCTGCAGGCCAGTTCGCCCTCAGCCAGCTAATATACTCCCTTTACCGTCAGCGATGGACCCTCAAAAGGTCAGAATGACCCCTCCCGAGACCAGAATGGGCCTTCTTTAATGCAGAATTGGAACACCTCCGTTAATAATAAGCCCTCTGCAAGTTAGAACGAGCCCTCCACAGTCAAAAATCGAGTCTCCATAGTCCAGAATAAACACAATATGGGTCAGAATGGACACGTCCATTCTGTGGAACGCATCTGTGGAACAAAATAGGTCCTCCATAGCCAACAATGCGTTCTTTGCAGATCAGAATGGGTCCACTTTGCACTACCGGTCAGAATAGGCCCTTAACGGGTCAGAATGGGTCCTCGTTAGGCCAGAATGGGCTCTTTACAGGCCAGGATGGATCCTTCTACAGGCTTAAATGAGCTCTTCTACATGCCAGTATGGGCTTCCCATAACCGACAAAATGCCGTCTGCATTACAGAATGGGCTCTCTTTAGGACAGAATGAGCCCTCTACGGGTCACAATGGGCCATCCACAGGTCAGGATGAGCTCTCTACAGGCCAGAATGGGTTCTTCTCGGTAAATGATGTGTTCTCTGCTGGTCAGAATGGCTCTCTTCAGGCAAGAATTGGCCCTCCACAGCCAATAATAACACCTTTACGAGCCAGATTAGGCACTAAGCAAGCGTAAATGGGCCCCTGTGCATGCCAAAACGGATCCTCTGTAGTCGGTGATAGCCCTTCTATAGGTCCGAATAAGCCCTCTGCAGGCCAGAATAGCCCCTCTGCAGGCCAAAATTAGCCCGCCACAGTCAATACCGGATCCCTTACAGGTCAGCATGGGCCCTCTAAAGGCTAGGACGAACCCTCTTAAGGCCAGCATGGGCCCTCTAAAGGCCAGGACGGACCCTTTTAAGGCCAGCATGGACCCTCTGCAGGCACGAGTGAGTCCTTTGCAGTCAATAATCGGCCGCCCCTACAGATCAAAATGGGCCTCTTCATGCCGGAATCAGCTCTCCATAGTCAATAATGGGCCTCCCACTGGGCGGAATAGGCTCTTTACGGGCTCAGAAGTGCCCTCCTATGGTCATAATGAGCTCTTAATAGGCCAGAATGAACACTAGGCAGGAACTAATGGACGTTTACAGGCTTATATCATCCCTTAACATTTCCAGAGTGGGCCTTTAACATACCGGAAATGGCCCTCCACAGACCCTACAAGTCAGGGGAAGTCCCCCCCCCTCGCCAGATTTCAAGTTGGGGGTAAGCTGCCACCACTGGAGGAAGTTGCTCCATACCTTGAAATGTTGGTGGCTAGGCAAAAATTCGTCGGTCTGTCGTTAGCTAGACCAAACACCATCTTTCCAATGTCATTGTGTCGGATGACCCATTCATCTAAAATATTATGCACGCGAATTTTTGTACAAATAACGACTACAAACGAAAAAAATCAAGCCAACGTTTGATTACGAGCGAGGTGAGTGGATCACGCAATCGCCATGATTTGAGCGGCCATGTTTGAGTTATAGAAGTGTTAGGGCTATGTAGTTACGGTTCAGTTGTCCCTGGTTCGGTTGTCACTGCGTCAGTTGTAACTGGGTCAGTCGCGCTGTTTCAGCGGTCTCGGTTCACTGTGTCTGTGTCAGTTGTCACTGGGACAGTTGTTCTGACCCAGTGACACTGACAGTGACGACACGCGGCATGGATTGTAGCGTACTGACAGAAGACGTTACTTGAGCTTACGTAAAACAACTTCAACACAAAGCAGGCGGCCTAAAACTCCCAACTTAGCTGAACCAGGAGTGTGATCTTAGATTGCATGGTTGCAAAGAGCATGGGTTTCATCACATCTGCACCGTTAGTCCAGCAGTATGTATGACTTTAAGGTTCCAATAAAGAACGATATCGATCTTCTATCCAGTTTCTGCTAAAGTCTCCTTTCCCGCGTTGTCTATGGGCCGTGCGCTCTACAACTTGTTTGCGACAAAGCTTCCGCGCCCTTGTCATTCCACCTTAGAACACCGGTGATTTTACCTTTCCAGACGATAATGAATCATCTACGGAGATGGGGGCGAGCAAACACGACATTGGGCCTGTTTTTTTCTACATGCAACGCCGGTGGGCTAAATCTTAAGTTTTCTGGGAATAAAAAGGTTGTCTCCTCGGTCCACTCCACGCTTACGGCATCCATTACCACTACAAAGGCTTCAGTCACTGAGATTTCTGGTGCAAGAGGGTTTCGCTAGTGGTGCCACTGCCAGAGCCGTAAGTCGCGTAACGTAGACGGTAAACACGTTCAGCTGTCCCTGCGCTTGGCCCCGACACCAGAGGGCAGGAAGGCCCACATCTCTGCACATGACGCTGACATCAGAGGGCGGAGAGGCCTCACGTTCAGCTGTCCCTGCACATGGCCCTGACACCAGAGGGTGGGGAGGCCTCACGCCCAGTTGTCCCTGCACATGGCCCCGACGCCATAGGACAGGGAGGCCCCACGTCCCTGCACATGGCCCCGACGCCACAGGACGGGGAGGCCCCACGTCCCGGAGCGCTCGTTGTGAGCCGTTGCTGAAAGCGCCACTCACCGTGGAGACAGCGGCAGGCCGGATGGCGGCTGGCTCTCCAGCGTGATCACGCACGAACGCTCCATAGTCTTCCGCAGTAGCTGGCAACAGCTCCTTCCGCCGCTCGACCCACGCCCGGCACTCAGCACCCGCCTGCCCCACCCTGGCTTCGCGCTGAGCCGACCAGCCGCCACCGACCGCCTCCACAGGACAATGGAGCAAAGGTTTGCAGCGTTACTAGCCACTCCAGATAAGCGCGACGGCCCGCGTGCACCTTGAACCTTAATCTGTGCCCAGCGCCTTGCGGCGTACTTACTTTAAGTAAACAGAGTGGCGACCGTCCAGGTCAACGGAGCCGCGACAATGTGCGACACAACACCGAAGTGAGCGGCCGCGCCCCCAGGGTGCGCGGGATGTTTTCACGCAGGGTTCAAGGCGTGGTGATCACTGGGCCTCCTTCACTGACCGGGTCACTGAGGTTGGTCCGGTGGCCTTGATCCTTGGCGTCTGGGAAGGCGTCCTGTCACAGTCAAACGCGTCGTCGGGGTGTTTTTTCGGGGTAGTCATTGAAATAAATGTTCGACTGTACTGCATTTGTAATGTGAACCACACCTTAATCCGCGCCAACGTTGGAAAAGGTTTGGTCAAAACATGACGGCACATATCGAAGTTGAGCGTTTGTCGTAATCCTTGAAAATGCAGCGAGTATTTCTGGGTTCCCAGGTCCGAGTATCGCTGTCCCTTGTCATCGCTCACTGCCAGACCGGTACGGCCTCGAGTCGGGCCCGTCAGTTCTGCTGCGGGGAGGTAGTCACGGCGTAATGAATGGTTGATAACGAGAGGGTATTTGACCATCAATCGTGCGACCAGCAGGCAACAATGCCAGCTGCCTGCGACTGCAGGTAGCTCTGTATCCTTGACTCGCATGGTGTGCGATGTCAGTCGTGGCTGAATGCAGCCACGTAGCCAGAATTTTGCCCACGGGTAAAAACCGAATGTCATATTCTTTCCTAACTCCTGGAAATCTGAAGCAAATACCTGCGAAATCACTAGTCTCTAACGCGGGCTTTTTCGCTAGGAGTGTGGGGGGGGGGGGGGGGGGCACGGTCCTCGCATCCCATCACTTTGGTTACGTCCATGGTTGAATGGCCGCTCACAGATGGCTTGCCGTATGACTGAGGTGGATAAAAAAGTTAGTCAGTTAGATGCAAAAGATGAGGCACAAAATTCGTGTAATAAGATAGCTTGGTTACTGAAATTATTTTTGAACACGGAACCTCTCAGTGCGATGGGAACGTCCATCATGTCTTGACTGAGGGCTCCAGCTGCGGATGGGCAGTGGAAATGGCATAGCCCAAACACTTAATTTTGATATTCCAATTATCGCACGACCGGGGCTAAGGGTTTACCCCGTTTGCTTACCAACAGTAGCCGGTGATCATCAAGGTGCCCTTACAATCTTAAGTACTAGTGAACACCCTTCACGAGCTTTGTTTAATGCAGTATTCACAAGCACTCGTCTACAAACTGCAAAACTGAAATCTTGAGGCTAGCGTTGAAAGGAAAACCGCCGAATTTCTGCCTCGTGTCTGGTTGGTCCAATTGTTGGCGAACAGCTGATTACCGGCCGGCTGCAGCGCTGATTCGGACTAGCTGACTGCCGGCCGGCCATGGCGCTGCCCCGTATCAGCTGGCCCGGTTTGATAGAGACAGCTGTGCAAACCGGTGCCTTGGAGCTTCAGCAGGTTTTTTTAACTCACACACCTGTTACGATCAAGTGTGGGCACAAGTGCGTGCCGGTTTGCTTCGCTGAGCGTTGGCACGGACTCTTAGAAAACACATGAAAAAACCTGTGGCGTTCTATGGACGAATTGTGCTTGCATTCCTTATAGATGTATTCAACATTATTCGTAGGATGTCCTGCCCGATCTGACCCCTGACTGCTAGGATCCTTAGCAGAAACCGCTGGTGATGTGATGAATACCAGATAGGTATGTTGGTCACTGGAAGCAAAATTCATCTGTAGCCAGTTTTTTTTTTCGTGCAGCCACATGGGATACATCACATACACATCTCACGGATGGTCGGTGATCACCTGCTCCCTCCGCTCTTATGTTATGTGCGTGCATGTCCTGGGAGGGTCGCTGCA